TCTTCTTGCACCAGAAAAGTATTTGCAAACTCTGAAATGTAAAGAACTTTGTTGACACTCCTAGTCCTTTTCTTTCTCAATCTAAGCCTTTTTTCTGGGACAACAAACTGACTTCTAGAAGTCCTCTGTTCCTCTGTGTTCATGAAGCCAGAAATAGCCTCTTCCACCTTCTCTTTTGTCCTCTCCTACCCTCTTTTTCTCCTCTCCTCCCTCTCCTTTTCTAGACTCATAAAATCCTCTGGTCTGCTTGATGCCTTATTCCACTGCTATATCAAATTTTAGCAAGATGGAAACTGAATTTTTTTAAAAAAATTTATTTATTAAATCACCGTGAGAACAGTTACAAAGCTTTCAGGTTTAAGTCGTGGTCATACAATGATCAAACACCCATTCCTTCACCAGTGCATGTTTTCCATCACCAAGAATCCCAATATATCCCCCATCCCACTCCTCCCCATGCCTGTGAGGCAGATGATTTCCACTTACCTCTCTCGACTTTGATTACATTCATTATTTCGACAAAAGATTTTACCCCAACAGTCAGGCCTGCTGAAAAGTCTGGTGAAATAATTTGTTTTCTATTGTTGGTTATGAAGACCATATGATTTTGGATTTCTGATATTTTACTGATTTAGTCTGGATGGATTTCTGCCAAAACCCACATAGTTCCGAGATTGGTTTGTGTGCCTCTGGGGCCATGGCCGTGCCAGAGAGCCACTCATGGGGGTGGGGGGGGCAATTCATGGCCTTGGCAAGGCAGGAAGGATGTGCCGGTTCCACCCACCCCCCATTCCATGAGACCGCAGTTGCCCCGTCACCCCAGTGCATACCTGGCTGTCCAATAAGCTCAAAGGCAGCAGCCACCATGCTGCTGGGCGCGGGGGGGGGGGGGGGGAGGCAGAAGAGACAGACACCCTTTCCCTCTGGGGATTGGGGAGCACGGCACCGTAGCTTAATGCATAGTCCATTCACATTTCTTCTAAAAGCTGCTGGGTTCCTAATTAGGTCCATGTGCCTCTGGGGCCATGGCCATGCCGGAGAGCCACTCGTGTGTGTGTGTGTGTGTGGGGGGGGGGGGGGGGCAACTCGTGGTCTTGACAGAGCAAGAAGCAGAAAGTGAGTTCTTTATTTCACCCCTTACCTTTTTTAAGGGGAAAGAGGTGTCACATCCAGCTGTGCAGAGGGCATAATGACTGTGCCAAGGATTATTTGTGGCAGGGATTATTTGATGCTCAGGGGACCATCTGTGGTGTTAGGGATACAAGTGACATTGGTCATGTACAAGACAAACTCCTTACCCTGGTCTATATCTTGGGCGCCCAATCTCTGCTTTTAGTCCTGTGTTCTTTCTTGCAACGAATGAAAACATCATCCATCTGACTGCTCAGAACTGGAAAGTGTGTACCAACCTGTATTTCTCTATCACTCCAAGTTAATCACAGTTCCTCTTGATTATATTCCCTAAGTGGATTACAAACCTATCCATTTTTTTATCCAACGTTTTTTCGTATTGTCACCACCGAAAATGTACATCACCATTCTATTATGATCACGATCATCCTGTTGTTCATCGATTTCCTCAAGCAGGCACCAGTAACGTCTCCTTTGCCCTAGCCCTGAGATTTTAAAAAGTGCCATATTCAAGGCTCTTTCAGGGTGAAGAGAATGAGACCCATCATTGTTACTGGTATTTGGCATATTGGGTACACTACGGGGAGTTTGCCAGACTCTGCCGTGTGGGCAGGTTACATTTGGTAGCCTGCCAGGTTGTCCAAAGAATGAGATAATAAGATGTCATGCACTTCTAGGAGCTGGGTTTTACAGTCTCTGGGTCTTGGCCGTTGATGGGATTACACGGCACCGGGGTGGGGTGGGGGGTAGTTGGTGGGTGTGACCCCTGCCTACTGGAAGATGGAGGATCTGCGTGGAGGATGCTCAGCCTCGATCCGAGCAGGCTTGGAGATCTCAGCCCCGGGACCCACATGCCTTTGTTCCTCTGCCGGTACCTTCATGCGTGTGGAGAATGGTCTCAACATGATTGGTCATCTCAGCATTGATTTCTTTAAATACTAGGAATTGAGCTTCCATATGACCTAGCAATCCCACTTCAGTGCGTCTACCCTGAGGGTTCAAAAACACAAGTTAGGAGCAACATCTGCATTCCTGTGTTCACTGCAGCACTATTCACAGTTGCCCAAATCTGGAAACAACGCAAGTATCCAAGAGCAGATGAACTGTGAAAGAAACTGTGGTGTGGTACATATACACAATGGAATACTACTCAGCTGTAAGAAAAGATGAAATCACGAAATTTACTGTCACATGGGTGGAGCTGGGAGTATCATACTAAGTGAACTTAGAAAAAAGAAGGAAAGGCACAGACTGATTTCTCTTATCTGTGGGATATGAAGAAACAAAACAGGGGATTAACTACTGTCCAATAGTAATAGAAACTGAGAACTTTTGTGCTGTCGGCAGCTTACCACCGGAAGGAGGAGGGGGAACGACACTGGGACAATTGTGGTGTGAAGTGGATTAGCTGGATGGAGGGGGTGGTGCAGGAATACTTCATGTATGACACCCTATGAATAACAGTCATAAAGTGCAGTACCCCAAACAAGCAAACAAGACATCCCAACAGACTTTGAAAATTCTTTTCCGGGGCTGGATTGATAGTACAGCACGTAGGGTGTTTGCCTTGCACACAGCCAACCTCAGTTTGATCCTAGGTATCCCATATGGTCCCCCAAAGCACCACCAAAAATAATTTCTGAGTGCAGAGCCAGGAGTAACCTCTGAGCATCACTGGATGTGACCAAAAAGGAAAAAAAAAGAAAAACCTCTGTAAAAAAAAAAAAGAAAGAAAAGAAAATACCCTTTCTATCCTTTCAGTCAGGCATGTAATTCAGTACCTCCTTTAGCTTTTCCATAGTTTCTCTGAGAAGAAAAGTGAAAAACGAGGCTTTTAGCCACAGAGTCATCAGAACACTCATTATTCAGTATTTTCATTTAGTAATATGTACATTACTGCTCGAACTCAGTCACTCTAGTAACTGGAGAAGTCTTACCCTGTCTGTCCTGCCCACATGAAACTGTAGTTCTGTTGACTCAGCTCACAGGAGAATGATGAAATATTCATCTAGGAAAACATATTCCACTATAAAATATGGATGTACTACATTTGTTGCAGATCACAGTGAAAGAAATGGAAATGGTGGATTGATTTTACTTTTTCTCATCCCTTTTTTTAAAAAAAATGTAGATGAAAGTGTCTTTCTCCTTCTCTCTTTGACAGACACTTAGATCTGGCTTGTGTCCAGTTCTCCTGTCTGGAAAGAATATGTATTATATAAAAGGAGGTACACAGTAGATATACCAAATTTAGTTTGATATATATAGCAAGTTACATGGGGCTAATGTTTAAAATAGTCATTTGGGGCATGACACTAAAATAGCCCATTCAAACAGGAACTCAAAATTGGCACCAACAATGAATGAAGGTCCCTTTTTTCTCCACATCCATGCCAACACTGGTTGTTTTTGTTCTTTGTGATGCATGCCAGTCACATCCAAGTCTGCTTTACAACATGGAGGACTACTGAAAATCTTCAATTTAGGCTGTCGCACTTTTAAATAAGCAAATGCAGAGTTCCTTTGAAATATTTTTAGATTTTAGTCTTAATGTTGACATTTTATTATTGTGTTTTATTAAGGGAGTGGAAGAAAAATCCTGTTGCAATATGGTTCTGCACTACTACTATTATTTTATTATTAAATAAAATAATAAATCACATTATTTTATTTCTACTTCATTTTCTTGTTTACATTTTTTTAGAAAAGGACAACACAGTTAAGTCTTTTTAACTGACATGACTTTCAAAATAGCAGAATTCATGAGCTCTAATCTCCTATGATAGTAAATCTTATTTTTTGCTATCAAAAAGGCAGCTTGCAGTTTTTCTATCCAAATTGCATGTTTTGCCTGAGTTTTTCCTCAACAAAATTGTCCTCTGTCTGATTTTATCTTAAATTATACTCTTTGACCCTAGACTCTAAATACCACTGTTATTATTATTATTATTATTATTACAATTGAGATAGAGGCAGCAGAGAGAAGTTGCCTAGAGCGGACTTAGAACCTAAAAATTATCATTTGCATCATGACACTGAAACAGGAACACAAAATTAAGCAATGTATGAACCTTTGATTTAAACTTCATTTTGTAATGAGTTGCTGTGCTGTTGAGTGGCTGAGCTGATCTGGCTTAGGGGGATGTGTCAGTAACTCCTTCAGTGCTGGATACAGATCAGAATGTTAAGACCGGTTATGTTATGCATCAATCTACCCAGTTAACTCTTAGCAGGAATTAGTTGGACATTTGGTTTAAGATACCTATTAAGTTTAATAGTGAAATGAAAATCTAAAACTCTCAGAAGGCTTTATGCTTTAAAAAATTAGAATTGAGTCAAGGTAATAGTATAATTGTTAGGGTGTTTGCATTGCAGCAGAGGTATTCATTTGTTTAAACAGTAAAGGAATATGTCCAGTTTGCTGAAGTGTGTTAGCAATCCCACATGCTGTAATCTGCTTGATCAATATATACCTAATGTTCTGCAATCTTTGAGACCCTGTATATGGAAGCAAACCTTTAAGTAATTGCATCTTTCTTGGACTTTTATCGATTGTATAAATATATTTTTGGTACGGCCAGTTAAGTTGCTTATTAGTTGTTTGTCATACCTTGTGATAAGGAAGAACCCAAAATATTCAAAACCATCTAGACATTTTACTAAGTGTACATATTCAAAATCTCCTAACTATGAAGATATGTTAGATTATTTGTTTTCTTTAATACCTTGAATTGTTCTAATTTTGAATATATGTGTACTCAAGTCAACCTGCACAAATATATAAGCAAAGATTTTTTTTTAAAGAGTAAAAGATAAAATAATGTGCAGTGTTAAAATGATTTGCTTCTTTTCTGCTTATGCAATTTCAGATGATGGAAAATTGTCCTTTGAGGAATTCAAAGCATATTTTGCAGATGGTGTTCTAAGTGGAGAAGAATTACACGAGCTCTTTCATACCATCGATACCCACAACACCAAGTAAGGAACTTTTTCAGCATTTGGATTTGCGAATTAGGTAGACTGGAATAAATATAGAGCAATAAAGAAGAGAAAGAAGAGAGTTCTGAAATTCCCCTTCTTTAATAATTTGAAAAACTGAATATGGAATTAAAAATTACCTTCTATAGAAATTTCTTCTAAAATAATTTCAGATAAAACAAAAGCATAAATTATATGTAATTCTAAGTCTCTTCCTTATCAAAAGAGAAGAATTTTATCCTGTTTCCTAGGTTTTAGATCAGATTGTTTCACTTAAAAAAATTGTCCTCAGTTCATACTTGAATTACTAAAGTGGAATGAAGAATTGCAACTCTTATCTGGACAATTCAGATGTGCTGAAGTCTCAGTCACTGTTACCTGAGAACTGTAGACAATGCAGGATGTAGAATTTTCTCTAAACTACCAGTGCATACAGGGATCTGATTTATTTATGTTATGCATGCAGATCTCCTCTTTGCAGTAGTATAAGATTTATAAAGCTTCTATTATATTCTCCTGCAACTTAAATAAGTAAAATAATGAGAAATTGTGTATATTGAACAGCAGAAAGATGATGCTTGATTTGGGTAATTGATCCAAATCACATTATTTGTGTTGGCTGTGTTTACAGAATTTTAATGTGAAAATACACCATTTCAACCTTAATTTGAGACCTGTCAGCTTGACTCTTGCTTAAAATTCACTGTCTTGCTTCAGGCAATTTTTGAGATGGCTTCAGTGTGTTAGCCAGCACCCCAAGAAAATGTTCTTGGACTATCTATGCACCGACGTTTTCTTGAGGCAAAATAATAAGACAAATTTAAAGATTAAGTTCACTTTACTCAAGCAGCTGTCAATTAAAAAAATCAGATTGTGAATTTGACTGTTATTGGGGTTTCCCATCTCTTCTGCAGTGGCCAGTGACTTTTGTTGTCGGAAAAGATACTAGCAAGATAATTTGCTTTATGTTGCTTGTTATAATCAAAGGGTGAAATGAATAATCAAAAATACTCAGTAAAGGGGCTGGAGCAATAGCACAGTGGGTAGGATGTTTGCCTTGCATGCGGTCGACCTAGGTCCGATTCCCAGCATCCCATATGGTTCCCTGAGCACTGCCAGGAGTGATTCCTGAGTGCAGAGCCAGGAGTCAGCCCTGAGCATTGTCGGGTATGACCCAAAAAGCAAAAACCAAAAAACCAAAAATACTCAGTAAAAGAAAATTTGTGAAAATTGTTATATCTCACCACGAGATTGTGAAGTCTTTGTCTGAGGATTAATAAGTTGTTTGTCTTTAGTTGAGCATTTATTGTGTACTGCTCAGAAGGCAGGTACGGGGGTGGAGGGGAATGCAGACATGGTGGAGGGAAGGTCGCTCAGGTGGTGGGATTGGTGCTGGAACATCAAAAGTCTGTAATAACTGTATCATGAACAATTTTGAAAACCATGGTGTTTAAATACATTTTTAAAAAAGATACGTGCAGAAAAGAGCATCAGAAGTCCTTAAGTAAAGTAAGTAAAGTAAAGGCCCTCCTGTTGATCATCGATTTGCTCGAGCGGGCCCAGTAACGTCTCCATTGGAGATTTTGTTGTTACTGTGTTTGGCATATTGAATACGTCACGGGGAGCTTGCCAGGCTCTGCCGCGTGGGCGAGATACTCTCGGTAGCTTGCCGGGCTCTCCGAGAGGGGCGGAGGAATCGAACTCGGGTCGGCCATGTTGGCTGCATGCAAGGCAAACGCCCTACCGCTGTGCTATCGCTCCAGCCCTTATTCTATCCAATAAATCCTAACATGGCTCACCTCTGGTGGGGGCTGGCAATACATTGTGGAAGCAGTGTTTAGTGTATAGAGAAATAGATACAGTAACTGGCATTTCACTCAAATAGATAAAAGCTCTGATTTGATGGATGCCTAGAATGTTAGAATGACTAAGGGCTAGGCTTTGGTATGGTTGGCTCAAGGAATATTCCTTGGGCAGGTGAGTTATAATTGACTGAGTCAAGGAATGGATGGAAGAGTTTTCCAATCAGAGGAGAAAATACAAGACAAACTCTGGAAGCTGGAGGTGAATGGGCGCAGGAAGTATGTTCTCATTACCCGAGTGAAAAACTCATCTGGATAAAGAAACTATGGTACATCAACACAATGTACCTGAACAGCTCAAGGGAAAATGAAGGAATGGAATGAAATTTGGACATGGAAAGTATGATGCTGAGTGAAATGAGTCAGAGGGAGAGTGACAGACAGAAAATGATTGCAATCATTTGTGGGATATGAAAAAAATGTTGTATGAAATTAATACCAAAAGACAGTGGAAATGAGGGTCAGGAGGTCCATGGTTGGAAGTTTTCCACAGGTAGGGTTGGGTGGGTGGGGGAGGGCAGTTAGGACAGATGGGCGCCAAGAGGACAATGGTAGTTGGTAGTTGGAAATGACCACTCTACACAGGAACTGAGTGCAGAAAGGAGGTAATAAACTGATATGCATGATAACCTGATAAGCTTTCATTTCCTCTAATGTAAACCGAAACGTCTAAAAGGAAAGTGGGATAGAGAGAGAGAGAGAGACAGACAGACAGACAGACACAGACAGAGAGAGACAGAGAGAGAGGGAAAGAGAGAGGGAGAGAGGTGTCTGCCATAGAGAGGCAGGCTGGGGGTGGCAGGAGGGAAAACTGAGGACATTGGTGTTGGTGGTGGGAAATATGCACTAGTGAAAGGATGGGTGTTGGAACATTGTATGACTGAACCCCAATCCTGAACAACTTTGTAACTTTATCTTAATGGTGATGCATCAGAAAGGAGGGGAAAGACTAATCTGGAGAGAAGAATGAAAAGGAAGCGATTTTCATCCTGAGATTGCAAAAGTACAATGTTGGCACCTAGAAAACCATGAGAAACTGAGGAATGTCTTTGCATATTATTGTGACTCTGCCGAAGGATAATTTTAAGGGCACGAAGATAGAAAAAAAGAACAAATTGTAGCTAATCCATAAATGACTGCTGGGCAATGCTGTTTCTGTAGGGAAGAAAGGAAGAAAGGTCCTATTGTCACTTCCTGAGAAATGAGACTTGAGTGAGAAAAATAAAGATCAGAATCGTCCTTTGAGGTTCAGGCGTTGACATTCAAATGCTAATACTGTCATATGTGCTAATCACAGTTGTTAAAGTTTTGACAATATCCAGATTTGGAATGATTATTGAGAGTTTAGAACTAGGTGACAGAGGTTTCTAAGTGTGCATTTGCTGGTATTAGTAAAAAAATCGTTTCAATAGATCTTTTTGATGATTTTACTATTTTATGTGTGTGTTTTCGTTGGAGTTCCTTGGACTGCATAGCATTATATTAGTTTACATAAATGTTAATGATTTGAAGCAATGATTCATATGTTAAGCACATAATAATATTTATCCACATTTTTGCTTATATATATCAATAATAAGTGTTTTCTTAAAATACTGGTGTTCAAGTTAATTTAGGGTTTGCATTATAATAGATATTATAGTCCAAAATTCCATTGTAAAGGATCACTGTCAGAAGCTGGAGAGATAATGTAGATCGTAAGGCGCTTGCATTATATGGGCCAACTGCAAGAGTAATTCCTAAACTCAGAGCCAGTCTAAGCCCTGAGCACTGCCAGGTGTGACCCAAACCACCGGCCTATACCCCCAATAAAAAATATTGATTCAGTCATTGGCACTACTTCCACTACCCAGCCGTCGCCACACTCCAGAACGTTTTCCAGACCCGCGCGGCCGCAAGCGGCCGCACAACACATCATAAGACACTAAATACCCATCTTCCGGAATTGTCGTACCATATTTGATAGGATTCAAATATGGTAACACCTACAAGGGTGATTAGAGGTCGCCCCAAAAGCCTCTATCCCTCTCGAAAAGACTGGCAAGCTACCGAGAATATTCCGCCCGCACGGAAGAGCCTGGCAAGCTATCCGCTGTGTATTCGATATGCCAAAACCAGTAACTACAACTGGTCTCATTCACCTGACCCTGAAGGCTTCACCGACATAGCAGCACCGAGAAGGATGAGAAAGGAGAGGCCGACAAAATCTAAAGGCCAACCTAGGCTGCCACAATGAAGGAAGACAAAAATGATCGTCTGTACTTTCAATGCATGTACGCTAGCATCAGATGCACCCATCGAGGACCTGATGGTACAAGCGCGAATGATCAAGTACGACATCATTGGTCTGACCGAGACAAGAAGGCACGAATCTCACCATGCCGTTTTCGACACTGGAGAAGAATTGTTCCTCAGAACATGCGATAAAAGAGGTGTTGGAGGCGTTGGTGTCCTTGTCAACACAAACTTGGCCAAGAGCATTGATTCATTCGAATGCCTAACAACCGGAATCGGACGTTTACATTTGAATAGATGTGACTCACTGCCTGCAGTTTCTATCTTCGTTGTTTACGCACCAACATCTCATTATGATGAAAGAGAAATCGAGAAGTTCTACATGGAGCTAGAGAAGCTCTGTAAAGAAGACCACACCTTCTACAAGATCATTGTGGGTGATTTTAATGCCAAGATAGGACCAAGAAGATCAGCTGAAGAACTTTGGGACCCATGGCCTAGAATGGAACGAACAGGGTAAGAGACTGAGTTCATCATGTCGACCAAGACCATTCATGGTAACTCACAGTTCCAGAAGGCAGAATCTAAACGATGGACATGGGAGTCTCCCGGTGGACGATTCCACAACGAAATAGACCACATCATATTCAATCGATGGTTTTGCCTGACTGATGTCGCTGTTGTCCCAAAATTTCGAACAGGATCGGACCACCGTCTCCGTGCAAAATTCTACTTCACAGAGCGGGGAGAAAGTGCTGCAAAGTTCAAAAAGAGAACTCCCAGAATGACCACCAACTGGAAACTCTTTGGTACTATTGCGGCAACATGGGAAGATGCCATTGTTGACAACATTGACGAGGAATACGATCGACTGGTTCAGCACCTCCATGAATGTGCGAGGAA